CAGCAGCAGCAACGGCAGTGCGCTCGATAATAACAGCAGCACAGGTGGTGCTGCTGCACCTGAACATGCATGCAGACCGGCAGCGCCCATTGCTCAGCCGTTGCCGCTCCCTATGTACTGCAGCAGCAGCAACAGCAGCAGCAGCAGCAGCAGCGGCAGCAGCAACAGCAGCCCCGCAGTTTCCGTATACTCTCCCCTTGCTGTGTCTCCGCCTGGTCTCTGTTCTCCTGTCTGTGCATACACCCCAGCAGCTCAGCCTCTCCTTAACCCCAAAGCATTCAGTGCCTTAGAGTGCCTGCTGCCGCCCGAAGCCTCGCAGCAGCAGCAGCAGCAGCAGCAGCAGCAGCAACAGCAGCAGCTCCTGCTGCAGCAGCTGCAACAGATACTGCAGCTGCGGCAGCAGAAGCAGCAGCTGCAGCAGCTGCAGCAGCAGCAGCAGCACAAGCTTTTGCAGCAGCCTCAGGCGCTCCTTGCTGCTGCAGCTGCAGCAGCAGCTGCTGCAGCTGCTGCTGAGGCGGCCCTAGGGGAAGCCCCTGATGCTGCTAAATGCAGCGTAGGTAGGGGGCCCCAGGGGGGCCCCCATGAGGGCCTCCAAGGGGGCCCCCAAGGGGGGCCCCCAGGGGGCCCCCAAGGGGGCCCCTGTCGTGCTGCGCGGCGGCAGCGGCGGAGGCCGTGGAGGACCCCCTGGGATCGGGGTGAGGGCAAGGCGGCAGCGTACCCTGTCTCATCACAGCAGCAGCAGCAGCAGCAGCAGCAGCAGCAGTTGCTGCTGCAGCAACAGCTGTTGCTGCTGCAGCAGACAAAGGGAAAGTCCATACAGAGGACCCGCGTGGGGGCAGCAGCAGAAGTGCAGCAACCCCCAGAGGGTAAGGATGCAGCAGAAGGGATGCAGGGCCCCCTCAGCCTATCTGTCTCCTCGAGGCCTCGCATGCAGCAGCCAGCAGCAACAGCAGCAGCAGCAGCAGCAACAGCAGCAGCAGCAAAAACCGAAAGAGCAGCAGTTGATGAGATAGACGAGGCAGTGTATGTAGACAATGCCTTAGCCGTATCACCGCACAGCAGCAACAACACCAGCAGCAGCAACAGCAACAGCAGCAGCAACAGCAACAGCAGCAGCAGCGCTTCCTCTCCCTCGCCCTCTCCCTATCCCTGCTGCAGCTGC